CCCCGGGTCCTCCTTCCTGCCCTTCTTATAGATACTGTCATTCAGCCTTGAAGAGGAATGCAAGTTATCCAGTATCTGCTGTGCAGCATGAGAACTTGCTTTGCAAAATACAGACCTTTTCCTATTTGTGATTAATAATACTTCAATAGCTAACAGTTGTCTATTTGTATAGACATCTTTTGCTATAATTTGCAATTAGACTAATATTTTCCTAAGGCATTATGTGAATGTTCTCTGTCCTCACTGTCTTGACTTGCCTGTTAAGGTTTGCCTAAATTTTGCCTGGTTTGGCTTGAGTACCTCTATGGTCCTTCGGTTTTTAGTATCCATTGATTCCTGGCATACCTTTCTTGGCAGTTTTGCTTGTCATGTTTGTAGGTGCTACAGTGAGTATATTCAAGATCTGAAAATCTTGCTGCAAACAGTTCATTAGTTTAAGGCTGTGTCTAATCCAAAGATTTTAAATTTTGCATGTAAAGCACTTTGGCAATCTGAAGAGAATTAATGTCTGTTACAATCTGATGAAATGCTGTCTTCAGGGGCACCTCAGGATAAATGTTTGAAACATACTTTTGCCTAGATTAGACTCCACAGTGGCTCCTGAGTGGTTATGGGTTTTTTTTTTAGGAATTGATGGTACTTTTTGTGTCACTACGTGATAGAGAAATGGAAATACTATTAAATATTGCAGCGTTTTGGTTTTTGGATTTTTTTTTTTCTAGGATAACTTTCTGTGGCATCTGCTGTCAGAAATACGTCAAGGCTAACATATCTGAACAATCTTCCACAACTGTGAGATATACCATGAAAATGATGGCCAGTGGAGCAGAAACTATTATCTTCATGTTCCTAGGAATTTCAGCTGTAAATCCAAATATCTGGGTTTGGAATACAGCTTTTATTCTGTTGACTTTGGTCTTCATCTCAGTATATAGAGTCATTGGTAAGGGGATGATCTTCTTCTCATCCTGGTATCGTACTACTGATGCAATTACATATTCTCTTGCCATTTGAATTTATGATTGCTTTGGGGTTAGGAGGGTAGATCTCTACAGCAAGCTTCATCATATGCTGAAAATATAGTATGATTTTACTTTTGATGATGTGTGAGGATATGACTAGCCTAGCAGTTAACACAAAACACACAGTGGCTAGCCTTTATTGATCCAGCACATATTGGCAAAATCTCCCAGTGAAATGGACTTTGTTCTTTAAGTTGCAGCCTAACAAAAAATGTCAGTCCTGTCAGCCACCTCTTTCCTTCAGGTCTCTCAATTTGGTAATAAAGAGATTGTCTTAAGCTAATGTTATGGCTGACTTCAGGTTTGAGACACAGTGATGTAAGACAATACATAATTACACTGCAGGTTCTCTGTTTTAAGAAATAATTCTCAGGGACTGGTGAAAAACCGAGTAAATAAGACTGTAGCAAACAGGGATTACCTACTGTTGGTTTACTGGGCTTACATAACTTTGCGGGCATTTCAAAATACCGATGACAATTTGCCCAGCCATATAGTTCTATTATTTAATCACTGTTCTGTGAAACAGCGAAGGTGCTAATATTAAAAAAGAAAAAGGCATGGAATTAAGAACTTCTAGAGACATACATAGTGATTTGGTGTATGTACTTACATCTGGAAATAAATTAAATTAGTTTATTTGCTTGATTTTCTTGAATTAAATGTAATTAAAAAGTAATGCTTCTGTTTAGCTGTCAGTTTCCCTAGACTCTGTATTCTGATACTGTTTAGAGATTCCAGGGCTGAATGAAGGGCCTGGCCCCATGTCCCCCTTTTACAACAGTCTGTAACCATTGTTCATTTAGCCACCTCTCAGTAACCACTCATGTGTGTGAGTTGCTTAAAAAAGTTTTCAGTGTCTTGACCTAGTAATTTCTTGTTTTCCTTGAACGAGTGGTTAACAATCCTGTAATAAGTGTCATCAATAATTAGTAAATATTCAGCAAAAGCAATATGCGGCCACTAAAGTGATTGAGCTTAGGCATTGATAAAATACTAAAGAACACATGTTATTGGGCCTTACTAATTGCAGGTCTCATACCCTTGGAGGAGTCAGACTGGTGAAATGAATTTATTTTCAAAGCACCACAAAACATTTGTACCATCAAGTTCAAAGTTCTCGAAAAAGAAAACCACCTGTTGGCCTGGTTGGCAGTTGTGGCCTGCTGCAGTGGGACACACACCCCGTGCTCCTCCCAGGAACGGTGACGCTGTTCTCCGACGGTGTGCTGGGAGCTCCCAGAGATGTACTTTCTAGAGCTTTAGGTTTCCTACAGCAGGCAGCATCTCACCTGCAGTCCTGAGCAAAGTGTTAGCATAATACATAACCCTCCATAAGACAATGACATATATGTCATTTTTAGTGATTTGTAAAGACTATCACACTTACTCCCCAGATAAGCTCTGTTTCAACCTATTCTTTTTGTTAAAAGATCCTGTGTATATCACTGACTATGGTGCTAGAAATTCTGCTCTTTCCCAGGTGTGAATTTCAAAGGTCGGGACATAGCAGCATTTCACCTGTAGTGCTTATGCCAGAGGGTAACACTCTCAGAAGAGCTACTGGCCCACAGAAGCTTCATCAAATTACTTTGGCTAAACAACAAGGGGAAGGTAGCAAGTGGGCCTGCCCTCCTTGGTAGAGTAGCAATACAGAGGAAGATGTAGATGGTGTAGAGAATTTGTTATGAAAGCAGACTGGGAGTACCATTTCTGATACACATGGTTGTGATATTGACATTTCATAAGGATATTTCTAGATATGCTGGCATTTGTTTTTCACAGGTGTAGTTTTACAGACATGGATTCTTAACCACTACAGAATGGTCCAGTTGGAGATAATCGACCAGGTGGTGATGTCCTATGGTGGACTACGTGGAGCGGTTGCTTTTGCCCTGGTTGTACTTCTGGATGAGAACAAAGTGAGAGAGAGAAACCTGTTTGTCAGCACAACTATCATTGTTGTGTTTTTTACTGTTATTTTCCAGGTAATTCATATTCTTAAGCATGCTTCTTACAAGGAGAAGGAGTCCCTGAAAAGGACTGTATGCTTAAAGCAGTACTCAGCTGAAGGTTCCATATTGTTTCACTGAACTGAAAGCATAATTGAATTTGTAATTTTAGTAACAAAGATCCTATTTTATGTTTTCATATTGCACCACAAGGGGCAAAACACAATTTCCTCTGTGCTAAAAAAGTTCAGTCTTAGCTGCTTGGTATTAATAGTGCTCAAGTTAATATCTGATTAAAAATCCTTCACCTCCTGTGAATAAACTACAGGGAACAGTCTTTTTTATGGGCAAATACAGTCATTAAGCTGATCTGTCCAAGTCTAAGTCCTTGTTTTAAAATACAAAAGTAAGCAGTGGGACAGGAAAGTGTTTAACATCCAAATAAAATAATACTTTCTGGATGAAAAAAAAACAAAACCAAAAACAAAAACCCAAACCCACATTGACTTAAATGGAGATATGTCAGTATATATTTGCTTGGAATTTGTTCTCAAATTTATTTTAGAAAGTTTAATTGTGGTCACAAACTCCTGATATATGCAGAAAATACAACATTCAGTGGTATGGGAAACACTTTAAAGTGTTTCACTAAAGTGTTCCTTTTGAAGCGGGACACTTTAAACTACCTTTCCACTACCACATTTTTCTTACAGAAGATATATTTTTCTACTGGTTTGTGTGTTTTTAAACCTTTATAACAGGAGCTAAGGATATTGCATTTTATGTTCTAAAGGGCACAGAGATCAACTGAGGAAGTATGAGAATCATATCACATACAAAACCGCTATATTTCTTATTAACAATAACCATCTTGAAGAAAGGCTAAGATAATTCCTAAGTATTTATTAACATATTTCAATCCTTAGGGACTGACTATCAAGCCATTGGTACAGTGGCTGAAAGTGAAGAAAACTGAACACAGAGAGCCAAAACTGAATGAGAAGCTTCATGGCAGAGTAAGACATTTTTCAAACTATGATATCTTTTGGATTTTTACAGAGTGCTTTAATTATTATTTTTTTTTAAAAAAAAATACATTAAAGAAAATTTCTTTTTGGAAGGGAGGAAAGAATCAAATTTCAAGTGCAAAACCCTTCAAGCATTTCAAAATTTTTTTGTAGGGTGTAATTTGTCTTTGGGTTGAGTCCAGTGAGGGAATATTCAGCTGGAGGTCTTTCACTTGAGAATTCCATGGGGCTGACAGTATTGGGGAATATGCTTCTTTCTCTTCATCTAAAAGAGGAAAATGTTAGACTGAAGACTGCTAGGGCAAAAATGTGGAAGTAAATTTATTTTTCCTTCTTAAATATTGTTTATTTATGGAAAACATGAAAGCAGGCTTTGTAGCTTGCATAGAGGAGTAGCTAGATAGAAAAGTAGTCTGCTGCCCAGAGCAGATGTTAATTGTATACCGAAATTCCAGACTCATGGTAATAGTTTTAGTTCAGTGTCAGAGCTCTGTGCGTGTCTATGTCTCTCTCTAACCTTTTGAAAGATTTTAAAATACAACCTCTTTCAATTCACTTTCACACAACATTATAAAGTTTTTCTTCAGTAAAGGAAAACATACATTTTCAATGAAAATATAGGTTAAAGGATGGAAGACTAACACCTTTCATGGCCTTCTTTACCTCATAAACTTTTCAAATCTACACAGCCATCCTGCACTGAGTATTTAATACATACTTACATGAGCTTCTACTCTTGTCTGTTTTCACACTGGAGGCTTCCAGAAGTGAATTAACAACTTAGTGACAGACAAGATTTTTTTCTGAGGAACTTTTTATAGACTACTGAATAAATACATTATGATTTTGTTATCCAGTAACTAAAATTAAAATTGCTGTTCAAATATTTTACTATTTGAAAATCAGGACTCTTCCCCCAGGTGAAGAAATACGGTCTGTCTACATTTATGGGATATACCTTTACATATCAGTTATTAGTGCAGGCTGGGCAGTAATGTTAATCCTAACACTTTGTAAAGTTGTATGGTCTGAGTAACCTCTTCCTAGAATATTCTAGGAAGATACAGTCTTAGGAGCCACAGTGCTCCTAGAACTGTACAAATTGCAGCCTTCAGAGAAAGGAAGCACTGTCTGTTCTCAGAGAGTATGAGGGAGACAGCTTATTTATAATACTATTTTCTCCAATTCTATGTCAGATATTTCATGAGGCAGTAGCTAATATTATGTTCAGGAATAATTCCTATAATCCATGTTGTTCTAAACCTAGCATGCTCTGTATATTCTGCAGTAATCACTCTGATGTTCAGAGTGAAACGTTAACACCATATACAGAAAAAGAACAAACTCTACCTGCAGCTGCCTTGGTTTGAATAAAGAGTTATAAACCTAGAAATTTCAATAAGTCATCTAACATACCCAGCATGGGATTTTGCCCTAGATATCAGAAGAATGCTGCCTACTTCTACTCTGCAAAGTATGGATTCCTGAGATTCTAAAAGAAAACACTAGGGAAATTATGCAGCTGATTTCATCACCAACACTAGTAGTGACTGATGTACTTCACAGAGCAGAAATGCAGAGGGTAAAATGAATTGCTGAAGAGAGTCTTACATTGAATGTTAACATGGGGGCTCACTGAGACCCTTTTAATTCAATAATAGTTAGTGTATTTGTGAAGAACTGGTTAGAAAGCTCAAGATCTTTAAAGAAAAGCATACAGCAGTTAGTGTTTCTGTAAATGGGAGGAAAAAAATCTGCAGCAATATTGGCAAAAATTAGCAGCAGTAAAATTATTCTTTATAGTCACCTGATCTAATCTGACATAACTTGAGCTATTTTATAATTATGCCTTTTATTTCTGTAAAGTTATTAATTTTACTTTCACTTTCCTAGGCCTTTGATCACATTCTTTCTGCTATAGAAGACATTTCTGGACAAATAGGACATAATTATCTGAGAGACAAGTAAGTAGTAACTAACTTTAATGCTGAAATAGGGCTAGGACATCTTATCAGTAAATTACAACTTTTCAGGCCTATCAGTTTAGGTACAGCAAGGATGTCAAATGTAGTTTAAAAGGTTATATACCCAAACCACAGAAAATATAGCAAAAATTGAAAAACTTTTTTTTCTCCAGTACAACTGGAATGTTATTTTTCTTCCATAGCCCAGATTAAGCCTTTGCAAATGCCTCAGTTCACATCCATGGGTCAGCTTCTCTCAGGTTTTGAGAACTGGCCATTTGCACAAGATTTTACCTAAAATGTTAATGTTGATCCTTCTCTGTAACACTTCATGATGATTATTTGTGTGTGGAGACACTAAAAATACTCAGCTACAACTGTGCTGACTGTTTATCCTGTTTCTATAAAGGATGTGTTCAACACCTCTGAAGGTGATGGCAGAGGGTGCTTTGAAATGGCTCAGCTATTTTAAGCCTGTTAGTTTGAAATTAATAATTTATATTATGGATCATTTCAATCTCCTTCTGTTTATAGTTGACTCATCTGGAGAGAAATTAATACTCAGCTGAAAGGTTCAGACATTTTCCTTTAATGTGAAGAGTCACCATTGTGATGGGCAGACTTCCACAACTTAGAGGAATAAGTGTGAAAAAAGGACATTAGACTGGATGTCTTTTAGAGTGTTATTTAAAGTCAGGCAGTTCTTTCCCTGGAGTTAGGCCACTTCATAGATGCAGTCACAGTTCTGGTCTGCTAATGTCCTGCTGACTCAACATGTAAATTCCAACCCAAAAGCCATATGGTTGCTAGCTTTCTGCAGAGCTCCCCCAGCCCTTGCCAACAAGCTGAGTCTACTAGCTTAGGTTTAGCATTATGCTCATGTAACCACACCACTCCTAGGCTGAAGCTGGGTTGTATCTGAGCTCAAGCAGAATTGCTCATCTGTACCCACTTATAGGGACAGTCTCCTTTCTTTCCTTTTCCTCTTTGTTCATTTTGGCTGTGAAGAACTTTCATGAGGCATCCCAAATATAACATTCTCTTTCTTTTGGTCTAAATTTTTGGAAATTAATTTCAGCAGCCTCCAAGACAGGGGAATGCATCCCCAGTTTTTAAATACTGTATTGAAGATAGACGTAAATATTTTTAAAGTGGCAGATTAGAGTTTTACTTCTTTTCAGACATTTGTTAAAAAGTAATCTTTCTCAGTAACAAGTGGAGGAGTAGCTTAATCCAGATTCTTGGTTGAGTATGTGGTTTGATGACTAAGGTATTTTGAATGAGACCACCTTAAATATGCTTCTTTTGGACTATATATACATGAAAGTCCTGCTGCCTCAAGAATTGGCAGCCCCTAGCATCCTCACTGGTATGCTCAGATGTGGTAGTCTGAATTAGAGACTGTTTCTTAGATGCTTTGGCTAGAGAAGAGGAATAGTTATCAATTCTGTGAATAATGTTCAACAACAAAAAGGTTTCAACAATTTAAATAAAAAGTTCTAAACTCAAAATAGCCTTTGGGCAAGATAGATAAAGTCACTTTGAACAGTAGTCTCCAATGGTGCCTCAAACCTTTTAGAGAAAATCTTGAGGAAGGTAGGTGAATGTAAAGCAGCCTTTATCTTCTGCAGTCTAAATATGAAAGAGCAGATATCCTACTATCAGACAAGCTTAGAAGTGTAAATCACAGAAAATACACATCACTTCTAACCCCCAGAGTACATCAATGGCATGAATAAGGCCCTCTGGCAGTGCTTGCAGAAGGACACCATTCTTATGAACTGATTTTCTAGGCTGGCTGTCCTACAGTACCGCTGAGAAAAAGCATATTTCCTTCCAAAGGAGGAAAGAAAATTAAACTTTTAGAATGAAGCTATTAAATATAACTGCCTAAGCAGGAGTTGAAAAATAAGATAGCATGATGTCTCAGAGTACTCTCTCTGCAGTTCTGCAATAGGGTATTTTAATCATAGTACTCCTGCTGTTTGGTAAGTGAAACCATTAAATGTTTTGTGACAGCTGCACAACTCTGTAGCAGGCTTTTCCTTAACCTTCTTCAAATGCTAACTGAAAAGCTTCAAAACACTAATCCCTCACATTTCCACATTCACCATTTTTTAAAATTGCTTAGCTGATAGAAATATAATTTATGCTAAATTAAAAATGCTGTGAAACTAAAATTGTTTGTTGCCATTAACACAGTTTGTTTAAATTATCAGGTGGTCCAATTTTGATAGGAAATTCCTCAGTAAAGTACTGATGAGAAGGTCTGCTCAAAAATCAAGAGACCAGATCCTTAATGTTTTCCATGAACTCAACTTGAAGGATGCAATTAGCTATGTGGCAGAGGTACTTATGAACGCTTGACATATTACAGTATCTTTTGGGTTTGGTGGGTTTTTTTTGGGTTGTTTTATTTTTTTTCCTAATTTATAATATAACTCAAAGTTGATATATTGCAGGAGAAGTCTAAAAGAAAACTATTTTCATTTCTGCTCTGCTTTTTTTCCTAAATGTGTTTTGAGTCTCAGTATCATCTGTTTGAGTGGCTGTAGTTCTTAGCATGCTGCCGGATTCCCAAGAATGAGTATGTTGCAGTTATGTCAGTGTACTTTCCTGTTGGGTTGTACTGAATAACTTTGTTTCTATGTTCATTCCATGAAAAACAAAACAAAACACTAAAATTCCAAAGGGATCAGGCAAACTACTGTCTTTCTAAATGTGCCAACAGCGTGTATTCTGCTCCTGCAGACCAGTGTGATGGCATGACAAATCTCATTTGATGAAGCTCAGTTCCAAATAGTGTCCAAAGTAGTGGACTGCTATAACCTCATTCTGCCAGATCACAGTCATACAAAAAAAAAATGGGATGGATAACTTTAATTCAATGGAATCATAACACACACAGTTCAGAAATCAGGGTTGAAGTGATATACTGCAGATATCAAACAATCACAGAACTGGGAATTTAGAGAAACTGAAGACTTACAACAGGAGAAATTTTTTGAAGTTGCAGTATGAAAGAAAGCTACTGGCCTTCTGCAGGAATACCATTCCCAGGCTGGAGCAATGTTAACAGATTGTGTAAGAACTCCTAATCTTCTTCAGTATGAAACTGGCCACCTTAGATCAAATCTCCACAAATGGGAAGTATTCATACAGTGCAAATGATAGTTTTAAATGCAATATTTTAAACAATTATATTTGAAGTTATTATCTATGCCCATAATCTCCAAGTGAACTCATTTTCACAGTTAGGTGATATAGCAGTTAATTTCTTTAATTAAAATAAACACTATTACTGAGACTGCTACTACTAGTCTTTTATTTAATTATTTATTTATTTAAATGAGCTACAGCTAAGCAGATTTCTTTAGGTGAAACATGGAATTTCAAAGACTGAATTCAGAAAACAAAATTAAATTCAGAAATTATGTTTGTGGTTCACAAGATAAGCAAATACTTCCTTTTGAGATTTTGTAAATTACCTATTCAATTTTCAGACCATTTGATCTTAAGAACTAATTTTCTTTCTCATGGTGCTTTCTGGGACACACCTCAGATAAAGAAAGATAATGACTTTGATGTTGAAGAGCATGAGACTCATGTTCAGAATAACTACTGATTCTGTTGAATAGATTCATCACACTATTTTTTAACAGATACAAATGGATCTCAATAGATCACTAAGCCACGAAAATTTAGCCCAAGAATCTTTACCCAATAATATCTTGAATCCCACTATAATATCAGATTAAGTTACTTTTTTTTTTGAAAGTTACCTTTTCCATTATATCTTAGTACATTTCATAACACAAGGAAAATTACTTTTCTTACCTTAGTCCAAAATGCTATTTGTGTATACTGTGTGTTGCAGACAAAATATATTGGCCAATGTCTACTGATCTGATAATAATAGACAAAAAAATTAAAAGTTCTCCAGATTTTATAAAGAATTTGTAATATGGTTTCTCCCAGTGAAAATTAGATATGTTAGTATCCCTGATCAGTCAAGAGTTGTGAATCATAATGTCCTTCCACCTTTCTCATGTTAATATTCACTTGACTTCTGAAACAAATTTTTGAGCTAAATACGTGTGAATTGCAAGCTGACATTGAAGCCATTTCTTCCAGCAGGAGTAAAGATCTGCCTCCACCAGCTACTCACTCTCTTCTCACATGCAAGAAATGGAGGCATTTAAAAACTATTTTTTTTTAATCTGCTGTTATGCTGTACCTGTACAGTAAACAAGAGCTTGAGAGAGTTCAGTCTGAAGCTAAATAAATTCCTTGCACTTGAGAGGGGTAGCCTAAACCAGGCAAAATTAAAATAATCCAAAGCAAGTGAATAGAAACAACTTAAAATACCTACAGTTCATAAGTTCTGGATAAATTCCTCCATTGGTAATATGGTATGATATATTTATGAAACATTAAATTTGATTTGAAAAGAAAATCAGGTGCACTTAAGAAAATGGATGAGGTAATGCTGACCCAGAATTTATTAGTTTTCTCTTAAGTTTCTTACCTACAGGGGCCAAAGTGTGCTTCTTAATGCCACTTGTCTGATCCAGCACATAGTACTGTAAGGTGTATGCAGGCTACCACAATGTAAGGAAACCTTTGATTGGCTCTTTGACTATAAATATGTAAAAGGAAAACAGAAGAGTTAAAGTTGGAGAAATGTAGATAAAATCTCTTTCAACATTCTGCAAGGCAGATGTTTTTTCTTGGTATATTCTTTATTACAGTTTAAAATTTAGAGATCTGCTATGTGATTCCTTTCTGCTGTGATGGATGAGTTCAGCCTCTGTAATGACAATGTCTCTCAACAGCTACCTTTTGCCCAAAAAAGAGA